AGAAGAAGAGGAAGAAGAATGAGACGAAACGACAAAGAAGAAGAAGAAGAAGAAGAAGAAGAAGAAGAAGAATACCTGAGTGGGCGATGGCGGCGCAAGCACTCTTCCTCGGGGGCGAGGAGGATGGCGCGGCTTGACAGTGACGATGATGGCGCGGCCTGAGGGTGGCAGGGTGATGACGACGATGACTCGGCAGGGCAACGATGGCGTGGACGAGCACGGCAGGGCGACAACGGCGCGGTCGACCGAGGCAGGGAAACGGCCTGGCGCGGGGGGGTAGGGCGGAGGGCACAGGGCTGCGCGCCGAGTCCCAAGATTCGAATTCAAAACCTTGGGACTTCCGCGCCGTCGATCAACGCAGATCGACGGCCCAGGTGCAAAAAATGAAAAAAACGAAATGGGGCCTACCGGACGCTGAAAAAATTTGCGGCCGCTGGCAGAATTTTTTTTTCCCTGTGGACCTTCAGCCCATGGCGTGGATTTTTTTTTTTGAAGCGATTTGGGGGGCGGCGCTGTGGGGGCTCGGGTGCCTGGCCGGGGGGGTCGCACGGCCGGGCGCCCTGAGCGCCCTTCCGGGCGACCTGGGGTGGCCCAGGCGCCCGGGCTGGAAAGCTAGGATGTAATTACGATTCGGTACATACAGGACCAACTGTAATCCTGGCGTGATGTACCCAGGAAAGTGCTACTATCTTTACCTTAAATAGAACACCCTGTCATTGTTGCTGCATTTGGGCCATCTTTCAACCAGATGCAGCAATAATGATTGGGCTTTCTGTTTGGTGAAGACCATAGTGTGAGTATATAGTCTTAAGTTGTTTATTTCAGGTAAAGCCACACAGTGCCACTTGTAGAGAATGAGAGATGAATTCCAAGTTAAAATAAAAAGATGGGAAAATACAAAATAAAAGAAAATGTGGGAAAGGACATGAGAATCTGGCGAAAGAAAAAAAATGTTCTTGCATTTCTGTTTCCTCTCAGATTTTCCTCTTGGGATGTACTGCAGCATGCAACCTCTCCCCGATCTCTCCTGTGCGTCAAGGCCATGTTCATACTAGTAGCACTTTCCTAAATGTATCTGACTGTAATTATCACCAGGCGTGGTTGCATCTGGTGTACTGGCAACAGTGGCAATTCAGAAAAATACAATTGTAGATTGAACCGTAACCCAAACCGACACAGGTGAACAAGTAGAGTATACTAAGGCACTTGAGATAACCATGTTGAAGGAACTCGGCAAAATGACTCCGTAACTTCGGGAGAAGAGAAGGGTGCTTTTCTTTGCAAAAACAGACAAAAGTGGCACATAACAGGGGTTAGCGACTGTTAGCTACTCTTAAGGGCGTACTCACACTAGGACTTTTTTACTCGTTTTTGGACGGAATTGCGGCAAGATGCATACAGGTGTGGCCGAACTTGCGGTGTGAATCGTCTGATGCGTTTTGGAAAGTGCTAGTGTGAGTATGCCCTTGACACTCCACTGCATTACGGCCCAGGGAGCCCGGACAACATCGATTGCTCCTTTTCTAAAGGATTTGACTCTCAGCTAAGCACATGCATCATGTGAAGACCCTTTCCCTATCCGTAGTCTTCCCTTTAAGAAAGATGCTGCAAAAGCCAGTCTGATGAACCTCTCTCAGCCTCCAACTGTTGGCTGCCAGAAAAGAGAGTTGTAGTAAATTTAGAATAATGTAAGTCTCTCTGCTGCTGGCTATTGTGGAATAGCCTTGTCTATTCTATATTTAGATTAATGTATGTGTGTCTATGTTGCTGGCTATGGAATAGCTCACTGTAAACTACTATTGTTGCATAGTGCTGAGTCGACAACGCATGCACTTAGGAGATGAAGTGTTGGAGAAAAAGCAGAACATGAAGGATTTGAGGCAAGAAGAATTAAAAAGGTGGGTAAACTTTTTCTTCTGCCTACATTTCTTCTGTCATCTTTTGGCCTGTTTCAGCCGCAAGGCTCCCCATGTTTACGCTGCCAAGCTGGAAGTGCCCATCTGCTACAACGGCGCACGTCCGGGCCGTAGAGGGTATGCTTGGTATGGCGAGCAAAGGAGTGCAGCAAAAGAGTCGAGGGTTAGTCAGACCACGGTCGCAAAATGGGCAGACCCTGGTGACAAAATGGCAAAAGATGGGCAGACCCTTGCGCCAAAGGCGTCAGACCACGGTCGCGAAATGGGCAGACCCTGGTGACAAAATGGCAAAAAATGGGCAGAGCCTTGCGCCAAAGGGGTCAGGCCACAGTCGCGAAATGGGCAGGCCCTGGTG